AGCCCCCATTTCCACAATGGAAACGACATGAAACAAAACGACAAACGAGATATAGCTGTCATTCTTTCGCCTCTGACACCCCAAACAACAATCAGATCAAATGGCAAATTCGCTTAACGCGATATGATGATCATGGTGATGAAATTTATGAAAGCTTTTTCATCACACTTCGGTGGGACTATGGCATATCATTAGAGATTTTCTTCCCACCAGCGTGTGATCGTCATAGTACCCACCTCCCACTCTCAGGTTGGGGACTGTTTGGGGGGGATGTAAAAGGTAGTTCATGGACATAGGCGGCACAATGAAGAGCTTGCCTCATGGCTTGGAATGCATTGCTACACTTGCTGAGCCGCCGTTGTTCATGATTATTTGTTGTGATCTCTGGTGTCCAGCTCACCATCAGGTGGCCTTAGCCGCCAGCGGAGAATTTTGTAACATGACGGCTGTGCCAAATCCCAGGCCATAAACGAATAATAAAAGTATGCCGCTCAACAGAGCTTACCCTGCCAATCGACGTAAGCGATTGAAATGTATTTGTTTTTGCGTACTTGCCACCGCTGCTGCTGCTGGGTTATTTTGGGTCTTAATTAGACCGGATCTGTCGATCTTCATTGCCTGTCCATGGAAGATTTGTTGGGTAAAACCATGATTGGGCAAAAAAAAATGATAGATATGTTGATGAAATAGAAACAAATGAATATTGTGGAAACGCATAGAAATTGGATTAAAATAATATTTTCCTAATCTGGGCTTAACTATGTCAATGAGCTTTTTAAAGAATTTACCCTTCACTGAGAAACGGATGTACCAAAATTCACTAAAAATTCGATTGGAAAAATGACAGATATCTCAAGATATATAAAATCTGGCGTCATATAAGTTATAATCGAAAATAATAATCGATAAATTATTAATTTTGGCACAAGAAATTCTTTAAAATCGTTTTTCTGAAGTTTGCGGAAGAGTACTTTTCGTACAATTATAATACAACACCAAATTAAGTACTATTTACTATTTTTCGATTAACCATAGTACACATTTTCAAAATCACCTCCATACCTTAAACACAGGTACCAACAGTGACCCCAATATCAAATTTCAGAATATCAACTCTTTAGTTTCCCCCATTACAAAATTCAGCACTTTTTGAAGAATTATAGTACACGTTTTCAATAAAACCTTCATATTCAATAAAACCAGTTATTCAAGAGTTATCAAAATTCAGAATTTTATATCTATCCCTTCAACTAATACCAAATTTAGTTTAGTGCACCTTTCCAAAACCACCACCAAATGTCAAATCCAGATACCAACAGAGACCTCAATATTAAATTTGAGGATTCCAGCTATATCCCATCACAAAATAGCAAATTTAGCACCATTTGGTACTTTTCGTATAAATATAGGACGCATTTCCAAAACCACCTCGGGTTGCCCATATTCGACGGACCCATCTGGCAACGCCATAACTTTTGACAGAGATGTCACATCGCTTAATGACATACCGCGTTTGAAGCGTCAGTCCAAGCAGATTTTTACCATGAACCAATACACGTCAATGGAATGGGCCCAAAGAGTCATCGAAATGGCCGAAGATGACGAGCAATTTTGGAACAAAATTATCATGTCCGATGAAGCCCATTTCACATTGAATGGGACCGTAAATAAGCAAAATTGCAGTTTTTACGCCACTGAAAATGCTCAGGAGATTCAAGAAGGTTTGGTGCGGCGTTAGTGCGAAAACGGTTATTGGGCCGTTTTTCTTCCAAAATGAAAATGGCCATGCTGTTACCATCAATCAGGAGCGTTATCGCGACATGATGACCAATTTTGTAATGCCAATTATTCGTCGAAAGCGTATGAGGCAGTTCTGGTTTCACCAAGACGGCGATCCACCGCACACAAGTCGCATAACAAACATGGGTCCGTCGAATATGGGCAACCCTGTATATCTGAATTCCAGATACCAACAATTTGAGGATCAAATTTGAGGATTCCAACCTATACCTTCATCTAACACCAAATATGTTACCATTCAGTACTTTTCGTACAAAATTCCGGTTTCATACAAAGGGTGAGATAAAAAATCTGCAACAAAGTCAAACGCCTTAATTTTTACATTTTTTTATTTTATTTTATTTTTTGAACGAAAGCAAAAAATGTCGGAAATAGCATCAAATTTTAGAATAAGTTTAGATTTGTTCGAATTGGTCACTTTTGGCAAGAATTATGGCCTTAAAACGGCCAATGAAACCGTCACACGCTGCCCGAATGTTGCTCTGCGGTTTTTGTGGCCCATTCCCTTCGAAGCGTTTGCTTGAGGTGATCGACACTTTGGTATTTTTTAGTGCCAAAATACTCCAGACACAATAGTCCAACGGAGATTATGGTGGCCATTGTGCGATGGTGCTGAGTCCTGTTGGAATATCTAAGGTCTGCCGCCAAAATGTTTGCATGCCCAAGGCTTTAATACACCCTCCAGAATATTTTCGAGATAATATTTGACATTTATTCCGATGCCACGGTCGATTAAAACGAGCGGAGAGCGAACATCCGCTGTTATGGCGGCCTACACCATCACTATGGCCGGTGCTTGAATTCTTGTGGCCAAACCGAAGGTGCACATTTTCAGCTGACCTCTTTGGCAAGTAAACACGATCATTTTGTTTGTTTACAAACTGCTGGACAACGAATGTTTTCTCCTCGGAGAAAACCAAATTAGGCAGTTCACCACTTTTGGCCAAGCGAAGCAACTCTTTAGCTTCATTGAGCCATTTTTCGACCACTGCGACGCGGGTTTCGATCAAGTCGCTTCTTTACTTTTCGAACAATTTCTGCTGATGTTGCTGCTTTTTTCCGTCCACTTCCTTGTCGTCGGGCTATGCTACCACTATCACGGTAAGGAGCGATGGTACGAGACACAAAAGATTTATTCGCATTTAAATGCTGAAGTGCTCTGACGATAGCCACTTGTGATTTTCCAGCCACATATAAAAAAAAATTCTCACCAAAATGCTTTTGTACGCTTGTAAACAATATAATGAGCTGTCATTGGAATAATTTTAGCAGATGTCGGACGAGTGGCTTAGTGACAGCAGTCTGAAGTTGGTTGCAGTTTTTCATCTCACCCTGTAATACCAAATGTTACCATTTCGTAACCTTAAATTTGAATTTTCACAAACCCTGCACATGTACTCTATCAGTGACTTATTTAAAATTTCGGAATTCTAGCTCATTCCGTTTGTCCAATACAAAGTATTTAATTTTTAGTACATTTTGGTACTTTCCATAACTTTTTAGTACGAATTTCCAAAATCCCAGATCAAGAAACTTAAAAATAATGTGTGGTTTTCCGGTTTCTCCGAGCACCCAAATATTACATAATTTCGTGGGTAAATGTGACTAGAATGGCTAGGACCAATATGGATAATGCTTTGACGTCTGTTGTAGAACCCATTATAAAGTACAAATATAAAATTTCACACAAATCTATTAGAAAATTTGGCTTAAATCGTCAAAATACCAAACGACCGATGACAGACATTAAATGTTCTCCAATGGAGCTGGAACCCATTACGAACTACAAATACAAATTTTTAGATAAATCCGTACAAAAATGTGGCAAAAATCATCAAAATACCGAATATCGGAGGTGCCGTTTTATGGGGCCTATACAAACACGTGGACCTATACATACAACATTCCGCCACCGAAGCTAGAACCCATTATGACTTACAAATACCAATTGTTAGATAAATCCATGGAAAAAATGTGGCAAAAATTATCAAAATACAGAATACCGGGAGTTACCGTTATATGGGACTTTACGAAAAAGTGGACCTATATGTGCAATGTTCCGCCACTAGAACTACAACCCATAAAGAAATACATATGCCGTATTTTTAGACAAATTTTTAAGACAAAATATCGAATATCGGGAGGTACCCTTATATGGGGGCCATCTCAAAACGTGGACCGATATATCGAATTTTCAATACCGATTATCCCAGACACAATGCAAGCTACTGTGCCAAATTTTAAAGCTCTACGTCAAATAATGTGAGCTGTATTGTGATTTCAACAGACAGACAGATGGACAACCGGACATCGTAAATCGACTTAGATTTTTATGCTGATCATGAATATATACACTTTATAAGGTCTATGGCGAATATTTAGAGGTGTTACAAACGGAATAGCAAAATTTTATATACCCTCCCTTCCATGGTGGAGAGTATAGAAACAAACAAAACCCTCTGAAACCAAATAATATAATCCTACTTCCCAGGATACATTTAGCGGGCACTTGTCAACATTACCAGAAATAACAACTTTGACGTGTATAAGGAGATCTATGTTGTGTTAACACTCTCTTTTGAACTCTCTCTCTCCCTCTTCCATTCGTCAATTCCAAGAGTTCTAAAATCTACCATGAATCGCGTCAAATATAATGCCACTGTACCACTTTGTAGGTAGCCTCATTGTTGGTGTAAAAATTAAATTATTGCTCTGAGCAATAATTCGAAAAAAGTTTAGAGATTATTGAGTATCAGCATCATTGGATCTCCCAGCCGCCAGCTCCAAATGCTCAAAGCTCATCACTTGATTCAATTGTTTGAAATTCAAATGGGAGGCGAGCTTTCATTGTGATTTATTTTTTCACTGAAGAGACAAACTCTTTGGCAAATTATGATGTGAGTGAATGAATGTGGATGATTGAGTAAGGGCGTGTGTGAGTGTGTTTGTGTGTGCGTATTGGCCTCCCTAAACGGCAACAAGACGACGACGACGACGACAACCGCAACGCGGCTGATTAAGTTTTATTTGGCGTGTTTGTTCGAATTTGACAAATTCTTAGGTGGTGGAGGAGGGGGCGTGCTTAAGTACTGCTCGCACGGCCGCCAGTGACACTCGGCGCAGAATAAAAATCGCCAAAGCAGCGACAAGTGTTCTTTCGCCTGTTCGATGGGATGAAATGAATGTTTATTGTTTATTTGCTACAACATTTCGTTTCAGTCATAAACGAAAACCTGAGGCGCAAAGTTGTAGTCGCGGCAAATTGCGAAACTAAACCAAATAAAAGAATCGAAACAAAAAATTCAAAAAAAGAAAACACTGCAACAAAAAATCACAACAAGTGTCTAACATTCTTAGGCCGACGTTGTCTAAATTAAAAAAAAGTAATTAAGAATAAAAAAAGAAGAAACAAAAAAATAAAAACATTTAAAGCCAACAGAAAACGAGTAGGTGCTACATTTTGTGTTATCAATAGGAAGACAAATTAAAAAAAAATAAAACAAAAAAGATCAGCGACGTGGTTTTCCATTGCGGCGTCGTTTCTAATACTGCTCTCTGGTGTTCTTAATGGTGTTTTGAATTTCATTCTCCTGTGACATGGTGATTTTAAAATAAATTAACATTTTTTCTCAAAATTTTCAAAACAAAAGCAAAAAGTTTTTTCCAAAAATTGTGAGTTTTTTCAATATTTTAATAAAATAAACTGTTCAAAACTGTTGTAAACATTTACATATTTGCCCACACAGGTGGGAATTATTTTAAAAAAATGTAAATAAAATTCATCATTGTGGTTTTATAATTGTGGTCATTATAAATATCATGTATCTTGAAAAAATTATGATGAATTATTAACAAAAAAAGCCAACAGAATTTCAAACACAAAGCAAATAATAGAAAAACAAAACTATCGTTTGACGTAAATCGGGAGAAAAAAGTAAATAAAAGATTATTAGAAAATTGCCGACTAAATGCATTAATCGAATTCCAAAGAGACAGACAGACAGACGGTGTGTCAACAAATATGCATTTGATTTGTCAACAAATTACCTCTTTCGTTCGATCTCTTTTTGCGCTCTCACTCTCTCTCAGTTACAATTACACTGGGCAACAAAAAAGGTATTAAAAATTGTAAAGGGGAAAGTGTAGTAGCAATATAAAATTTGAAACCTCAGCTTCAACATTCCCATGGACCACCAAATATTCAGATTGAAAATTGCTCAGAATTACTTTTTTTATCAAAATATATAAAAATTAAAATTACTTTTTTGTTAAAAAAAATGTATTGAAAACTTGTCAAAAAAAAAATTTAAAAGAAATCTAGGTTTTGGTCGGCGTAAGTGTCTCTGAACAAAACTTAGATTTCTTTAAAATTTATTTTTTTTGTCAAGGATACTCTTCTTTATTTCATTTATAAACAAAACAGGTGGCTTAGCCGACAGCATATGTGGAACGTATCGTCAATCTTCGAATTTTTGTATGGTGACGGTTTTATACCCTCAGCCATATGGCTGGAGAGGGTACATCATTTAATATCTCTCTTCTCTCTTCTAGGACATTTGGAGTCGATCTAGCGATGTCCGTCCGTCTGGCAGGTGTGCACGGAATATCCGACTTGGTCTAAACTTGGTACATGGTTATATTTTTATCAAACTTAGATCCAGTTCAGAGATGGGCAATATCGGTCCACTCCTTCTAGTACCTCACCCACAAAAGTTCGAAATTTTCAATAATTTGATCCAAACTTGTTACATCGTAATATTATTATCAAACTAAGATCGAGAGATGGACAATATCATTCTACTCCTCCTAGTACCTCTGTACAGAAAGAGATTGGATGATCCGATTTTGTTAAAACTTTGCAAATCCTAATATTTTCATCAGGTGCGAAAATGAGCAATATCGGTTAACTCCATCAAGTGTTTAACAGTGGCAGGATATCAATGAAATGTTCTTCTAATCAATTTATTTTGCCTCAAAATATGCTTCAATGTCGCTTACAATATAAGCGACATATCTTACAATCGTTTGGTTATTCAATTCTTTGAAAAATAATTATCAATAATTCTTGGGATTAATTTGAAGTGAAAACCTTCTATTAATTTCCTTTACGAACAACTTAGAGTAATTTTAGAATGGTTTGCCATAAAATAGGCTTTTTTGCTAACAGTCAAAGTGAATAAATTTAAGAGCTTTAAGTTCCGTCCAGCTAAACTGTTTATGCCCTCCACTCTTGAATACACTGAAAAAAATTAGGTAAATGTAAAAAAAAACATAGTCAGTTTTCTACCACCCTATAAATAGCCATGTAGGCAGTACCCGATTTTTTGAGGGTCATACCCATAAAATACATCATCTTCAAACCTTAGGATCACCCGATTACTTGAAAAATGTGGTGGAAAATAACTTTCAAACCACCAAATTGCTGGTGTTTTTTTGTCTAAACCTAATCGATTTCAATGGTCCGATCTCTATCATTATTATAGCAGATCTTGTGTAGATAGAAATGTTGAGATGTACCAAGTCTGAATGGAATCAGATGTTAATTTCGTGGTTTAGGTGCTTCATGGATATTCAAAGTATTTAATCTTTGTGGGGGAGGTAATTGATGAAGTGGACCGATATTGTACATTTTTGCACCTGACGTAGCATTGATGGAAATATTAAGATATGAAAAGTTGAAGCAAAATTGGATCATCCTTTCTCTTTCTGTGCAGTAAAATATTTTCTTTGAAAATTTGGACCTCTTGTGGGGGAGGTATCAGAAAGAGTGGACCGATATTGCCCATATCCCAACTCGATCTAAGTTTGATAACAATATTACAATGCACCAAGTTTGGACTCCCTTCGAGAGTTATCATATTTTTTCCATCGTCATCTATTTTTTTTAGGCGCCATTATCAAGCGTGTGTCCAGAAAGACGAAAGATAGAAAGACGTCTTATTTCATTTAATACCGCTAAAATATGGTTATCGAAGTAGCAGGCTCAGACCCTATGTCTCATTGGACGAAATCCGTTCTCGGACATACGGAGTCGATCCAGCGATGTCCATCATTCCATTTGTCTAGCAGTCTGGCACGATAGCTCACAAAGAGAGTATCTGATTGGGTCTATAATTTGCACGTCCTCATGCTTCGTTTATTGAACTTTTATCAGATTCGGAAATAGGAAGCATCGACCCATTTTGGTGGTAACTTCCATGCAAACTGTAGAAATTTTCAAATAAATTGTTTTCTCCTAGAAAGAGATTTGAGTATCCGATTTGGATTAAGGTCAGGACGAAAATTTTTGAAAAATTATAACTCTCCCACAAAATTTTAAATACATATATCTCTCATGAAATGCGAAATAAGCACCCACTACTCTTCAAATTTAATACGTCCCATTATTTTTATTAACTAAAAATCTGGTGTGAAGTTGGAATATATCGGTCCACTCCTCTCGGTATCTCCCCTACAAAGGGGTCAAATGCAATGCGTCAATCAGCATCTGATGCCTTGTAAACTTCGAATATTCGAATATTTATACTTACACAAGATCTAGTGCTAAGATCATAGATACCGGCCTCTTTTGGTACCCTCCTCCCCCTTACACAAGATCTGGTGCTAAGATCATAGATACCAGCCTCTTCTGGTACCCTCCTCCCCCCTAAAGAGTTACAAATTTCAGTACTTATATCTCTAACTTTCGAACTAGTCAACGATTCTTATCAAACTTGGTATGTATTAATATTTTTTCAACCGGAGATCTGATGTGAATATGGAATTTATCGAACAACTCCTTCTGGTACCCCACCACAAATAGTTCAACATTTTGATTATTCGCATAAAATTGGAAATATATGTCTTTTTACTAGTATCTCTAGTATATATATATCCACTATACCTTACGCTCATTTCAAAATTTTCCAAAAATTATCGGATATCTCATATACATTGAAGGAAGTAGTCGATATAGTTTAATCTGGCCAATATTTCTGTAATTTTTGTATCAGACTTAGGTCAGATACGAAAGGGACAATATTGGCCCCTCAGTTGGAACCTCCCCCAGTCTGAGTGCATACATCTGTCCGCAAAACCGACTGATACATTTTAACTTGTTTTAAGGCGACCTTAGTCAAAAAACGCGGATTCAAAAAAGAATTAAGAAAATCTATATTAACATATTTTACTAGTTTCTTCTGAACACAAATTGTGGACTTTTTGAAAATATATTCAAGATGTAGCAAAATTTTCAGTACAACTTGACTTAGAATTCAAAACTTGATGTTTGTTTGATAAAAACCAAAATATATGTTGCATAGTGTTTCTATAATCCCTAACCATTTCCATATTCTATTATCAATTTTGTAATTATAAAATAATAGATAAATTATTTTACAAATATTTATAAAACAAACACTTCAAAGTAAAATAACAACAACAACAACAATAAATTAAAATAAATTAAAAAAAAATATTTATATATTTTGCTTGACCTAAAAACAATTTCACACAAAAATTATAACCATGTCGAAATTTTTATGTTTTTCTTTTTCAGTGTTTTTGTTGATATTGTTGTCGTTGTTGGTGTTGCTACTATTTTTGTTCACAATATTTTTGTTTTGGTTTGACAGTTTTTCCTTTCCTTATTTTTGCGACATTTGCAATTAGAAAGAAAGTAGTTTTTTTGTATGACTAAATATGAGATAACATTGCCAGAGAGCGAGCAAGAGTGAGAGTAAGAATGCGACAGTGGGTGAACAACAAAAAATTAAATTCCGTTCGAACGATCAAACCAACCATTCAACCTTGCACTTAAAAGTGCATTTTTGCATAGCTCTCTTTGTTTATGGGTGTCTTTAGATTACTCAAATGTGCAACTATGTATGGATGAGGTACTGTTCGTTTTCTGTTTTTACATCTACAGTACGGGTGGGAGTTATTAAAACTATTGATAAAAAAAAATGAGCAAAAAATCTTAATATTACCTTAATAGTACGTTTTAGGCCATTTTAGCCAAAATTTATGGTCCGTTTTTCTAAAGCAATCCAAAGCCTTGTTTCATTTCAACTCGAAAGAAATCTGTTTTTGGTTTATTTGAAAATTCTTCCTTTTACATGAATGGCGGCTAAAATCGACATCTCGAAAGAACGCAGAAAAAGCTCTCGAATTTGAATGTGAAGTATTGTCACTGCTTTTCAAATGTAATTCAAGACCACACCACCAAGGGATGGACTTTAGACCACAAAAAAAATTCAAGACCCCATTTCCCGATTAGGAAATTCTTCAAACCGTTTCGGCCTTGTATATGTCCTCTCTTAAATTGCTGCCACATTCTGTTGCACTTGTTCATTCAAATTAATGCATATATATTTGTGTCTATATACATATATATGTAAAGACATCTGAGAAGTAATAAAATTGAAGACAAAAAAATGTCATCGTAACCTAAATTATTAAAAGTTAA